ATTTATTTGTGTGGATTATACATCAACGAGAAATATTAACTGGTGACATATGACACTTTACAATTTGTAAAGATACAAAAACCAGTATTATGATTGGAGATGTTAAAGTTACCTGCAGGTCATGTAGAAAAGACCTATCACCTTCAAGAGCAACAACTCTCTGAGCTCCAGCATTTAACAGAGTCCTAGTCAATACCCCAGGACCTGAAAAAGGCAAGCACAAATGCATCAATAATAAGAAAGTATAACATTTGAATATATCAATGTGTTTAAAAAATTACAAAAACAAACAAACAAAAAAACACTAAGTTTGTCGTCATCATCTGTGCAGAGATGGAAGAATGCTGCCCAACACTGTAGAGATAAACCCATACCTGGATTACATTCAAAGATAACAGTTTTAGCATCTTGTAGATCAGGTCCTAGATGCTGTGCTACCAGATTAGCCAGGTCCGGGTCCACTATGAAGTGTCTGATTTTTTTGCAGGCCTGAGCCCGTCGTACATTCTCCTCTACCTCCCCAAGGTCCAAGAAATCATACTGGCACAGAGGACGACACTGGCCCTGTAAGAACACACAAATGCACACAGTGGGTCAACAGCACTGTCAGTATAAAGAGCTCAAGTTATACTAAAAAAACTTGAGTTGTTTTCATTATTTTATGGAAAAAAAAAACCCCCAAAAACAACTGATGTATGCATGCATTTTCCAGGAATGCATACTTTTTTGTACACATCGAGTGGACCAAGTAACGTTAAAAAGCTACAACAACCTCAAATCCAGCAAAATATGCTGATTTTGTGCAGATTGTATTGTACCTACAGGAATGCAGATACTGTCAGATAAGAGCAGCAAAAAATAAAGTTGATCATAGACCACAATGCTACATATAAGTATAATAGATACAAGTATGAAAGTGAAACATACAATTACAACCAATAGAAATGCAGTTTACGGCTATTGTCTTCAATCAGAGCCAAAATAAATTATCTACCTGTACAGCTACAGCAGACAGGTTCCTGTGTGTGAGTGCAGAAGAGGGGGACGTCCTTTCTGAACGGGGCTGTTGAGAGTTTGGACCAAGTGAGGGCCGACCGGGACCCAAAGACAGGGAGTCCAGACTGTAGGCCCTCCTTTGAAGCACAGACACACCAGAGGCACAGAGGCCAGAGGGACCCACAGGGGTCAACACCGCCTTGCTCAAACAAGATTGACCTCTGACAGTATGGCAGCAAGCAGAGCGGAGCAGTCGCTCCACCACTCTGCAAATCTGGGTGGACATGGTGGATGACCTTTATGAGAGGCTACAGCACAGAAAGAGAAAAGAAGAATCACAATAACTATAATGACATGAAATATTATTAAAGGCAATAATACATTTGATTTTAGGGCACACTCAAGGTCACCTTATGCAGAAGAGTTAAACACATAAGTATACAAAAAGAAAATATCAAATCAATAAAACAAGTTAACATATAAAAATGTGGAAGACATGAAGAGTAAATATGCTCGTTTAAACAGGTGCATTTTCAGACAGGAAAGGGAATGGCATGGATGGACTTCAGAGGAAAACCAAAGTAATGAGTTGCAGTAATCGATGCGAGACGTTTCCAAGGTGTGAACACTCAGGCTCTTAACCCCACAGGGATGGAGGAACTGAGAAGTTTTCAAAGGGGAGGGAAAAAGTATAACATCTGGAAAAAAGTCGGATTTGGTGCCTATAAGGGGAACCTCTCAAAGACGCTGGAGAACAAGGATTAGATTTCCTGAAGGCAAATACTGGGGCGTGGGTGAGAGACCGGTGGGAGGTTTGGTAGACCGTTAGAGCTGTGTCAGCAACATAACTATGGAAATTGATATTAAGTTTAGAAAAGATGAGACAATAAGGGGGAGAAGAAAACAAAAAACATACGTACAAACACGAATACGTTGTAAGACTAAATGTCATTTCTCACACATTCTTCTTTTACCTACTCTTGCTCAGCTTGGTGGTCAAATACCCAATTTCAAGAGTGTATAATAAAATAATCGACCGCTAGCATAGACAATTTCACGATTTTGTACACTGGCAAAAACCGATGCACCCCAATCAGAACAATCCCATCTGATAGCACGTGGGTGAGTTTTCATAAGCATATTAACACGTGCTGACTATTACTTAACCTTATCAACATCACAGTAGAGTTTAGAGTGGAGCTCACACATATTGTGTGATTGTCAAAAGGGCGCAAAACAACCTGAACCCGAGAGACATTTTTAAAACCTAAAGTTGTTAGCCGAGAGGCTAGCAGTGCGCTAACCTCTCTTAAAGCTATCATATCAAACGGTTATGTAATAGTGAAAAACGCGAGCATACCTCACTGCAGATTATCCAGCAGTTGCTTCAAATCTGAAGACATCCAGACTTTAACGTTTACTCTCGTCTATCTGCTCGCTGAAAAAACTCTGTGACATTGAGCCCACCGCATCCTGACCTGACCCTGCGTGCCCTGTTTTTGCAACACTCGTGGTGTTAAAGACGCAGCTGCTTTCGTCACTGACAGGCGACTACTGCGTAGGCCAATCAGAACACTCGAGGAAGTAGTCGGCCTGATATGGCTAGCGCAGAAACACTTTCAAAAACAGGAATAAATCAATATAAGTTACACATATTTCGCAGAAAACTAAACAATAAATAGAATTTTGTCCTAAATATAATATAATAACTCCAGTTCCTTCGGAAGAAATTGTTTAAACAGCTAAAAACTCCCACTGCTGTCAATATCTACTAGCATATTAGCATATTATCCTGCTACGGAAGTAGACCAAGGAGCGCCGTAAAAACGCACGCAGTCTGCCAGGCTGTCAGACTGGATCCAGGATCCTGGTGCAAAGGCTGCAGGTGTCTGTGCGAGCTTATCCAGCTTGTCTGCTGTCACTATGGCGCGTGTGGAAACATCTTCAAGCAGGCCGTACCATCTGGTTATCTTCGGAGCCTCCGGGTTTACGGGTCAGTTTGTGGTAGAAGAGGTGGCCCGGACGGCGTCCGAGGGTCCAAAGGGGAGCTTGAAGTGGGCCGTGGCCGGTAGGAGCAAACAGAAGCTGGAAAAAGTTCTGGAGCAGGCCGCCGGAGCACTCAGTATGTATCCGATTGATCCCATAAACTGTGCATATACAAGCAGATAGTCACTAAAATAAAGGTATTCTTGTTGACTTAATTTTCATTTCATTTAATTAAAATGTTTAAAAACTGGAAAAACACAAATCCGTACTTACAGACTGTTTACATAATAAAATAAAGCTATAGATGAAATGCATGCACTTATACTGAGGAGGAGAAATGAGCGCATATGCTTATTGACGCTGGGATGTCTTCACAAAGGGTTGTTTGTGTTGTTTGCAATTTAAAAATAATAATAAAAAAATGTTTACAGTTACAGCTACAGTTATTGTTTTCTTAAAACAGGGTTACATTGCCAGGGTTACATTGAATTTGCTGTGACTTTGACCCTTAACTCTCAACTCAAAGTACAGTAAAGCTGATGTTGCAACCAAAGGTTAATCCTTAATAATTCTTCTTCTACTATAAATAAGATACTTTGCTCTGTTAAAATTCAAAATCTATGACTATATTTGGTTACATGCTTAAATCAGCTTGCAAATAATCAAATGAAAGTGTTTATGAAGTAGTTTTACCCCTTGTTAAAACAGTAAGCTGTAAATTGTTCTTATCTCGGCCTCTTATTGCTTGATCAACTAAATAAGCATTATTTTAATTAACATTTCAAACAAAATAGTGCAGTTTAATTCCTTCAGAGGAAGAAACTAGGAATGCGTCGCACGATTATTTTCTTATCTAACAGAATGTCTTATTTTCCCAAACAGAAAATCCAAGTAAAATATCATCAGTTTATATGACGAATAATCAATAGCATGTGGAATTCTGCCATTGCTGCTGCAGTCACCAAGCAGAAATAGAAATACTATTCACAGGAATGCATTCAAAAATGTGGTGTGGAATAACAGATATATACTAAACATATTTAGAATGGCAGTAAGTTTCCAGGTTGATGATTTGTATCTATGCAACACGCTAAACATGGATAATTGAGTCCATCACTAGCTGAAGATCAGGGAGCTATTCTGTTGTTGTTATAGTGATTCAAGTTTCCAAAGGATTAGATTGTTATTCTATTGTCCAATCCTCTTCGGCTTTCTCTTCAGGGAGTGTGCAACAGCTGATGGAACATACCAGTTCGCTGTACTATCCCCGTCCATGACAGCACACTAGTCCAGCCTTTCAGTGAGCACTGAAGATGGCTTATGTGTTTGTTTGTCTTCTAGAGGCTTTCTATAGTTACAGTGGCACATTTTAAAATTACTCATGCTGTTTAATGTCTTAGTTATTCAAGATATTTCTTCCAGCCTGTGCAGCATCTGCATTCTTTTACACTATGTTGTCCTCGTTTTCACTCGAATGGTGTACAGAGTTCTCACACATTTGCACGTCTATTGGTTAAAACTCAAACTCAGGAATAACAAACCAGTATATTTTACACATAAGTAATATTTTTCATCTTCATTCTCCACAGATGTGTGTATGTGACCACTTGCTGTTCTGTCAGACTGTAAAATGACTTGGGGCCTTTTATATTCATTTGACTAAACTAAGCTTATCTCATCAGGGCAAAACTTTCATATTCCTTTAGGAGGCTGGCTTCAGTTTTTACCTGTTATAATCATTTACAAGTTCATGTTTTTAGTCATAGACTTTACTAGAGTAGCTTTTTCCTCATTCCCAGTTAACACAGTTCATGTTCTGGACCTTTATGCAGTCCCTCATTTCATCCAGTTTGAAACAATCATCATAGCTCCTTCTTGTAATTTTAATAGTATGACAGAAAATGTTTACACAGACAAAAATAAGTGACCGACTTTGCATATTTGCTCGGATAGTAGTGTGATAGCTGGGGTGTAATAGCACTGCCTGTGAATATGCTGCCAGACATATTCATTGGACTTCCATATAAACAAATGAAAGTCCAGTGAACTGGACTTTGATTGGTGAAAACGAATGAAAATGCTCTTACTTATGCGACTTTGTGTGTGTGTGTGTGTGTGTGTGTAGGTAAGCCTGAGCTGAGGGCGGAGGTGGACATCATCGTGGCAGATGTCGGGGAACCAGACTCCCTTACAGCCATGTGCAAACAGGCTGTGATTGTTCTCAACTGCGTCGGGCCTGTAAGTTGACAGTTCCACAGAAGCTTGTGTTTGTGTATTATTACTTGCTCCATATCACGATATAAACTAGTTTTCTCTCACACAAACTGCCAAGATTAGTGTGATGGCATCCTGCTTTGGCATAAGAATAAGTTATCACCCCCATCTCTTTCTCTTTCTCCTTCTTTGAATCTCTGTCTTTCTCTTACACACACACACACACACACACTCAAAGCAGCGTTCACTTCAGCTTACATTCACACAATGAAGGCTACTGACGTGTAGCACACAATAGCTAGCATTATGTTAAAGTTGGAATGAAGAGTGGGTTTCCAGCACCACTGAATTGCATCCTGTGCATCATTCAGGTTTTTGTTTTTTGTTTTTTGTTTTTTTTTTAAATCAAATTCTTTGACTACAGTAACCACAATTGTAATGCACAGCAGCACCCTGCCAGCTTTCTTCAAACTCAGACACAGAAGCCAACAACACAGTTTGGGTTGTTGTTGTTTTTTCCCATTTGCTTCCCTAGCTAGAATTTCACAAAGGAGCAATAATGTAATGCATTCATTATTACAAGAGAGAAAAAACTTGATCTACACTACAGGTGTTAATTGTAGTGTTCTCAGGAACTGCAACTGGAAGTGTTGTTTACAAAGAGGTGAACCTGCTCTGCAAGTTGGTCTTTGTAGTTTAACTTTAATAAACCTTGCACAGAATATCAATAAATTAAGAAAAATCTTTAAATGTCAACTTAACATCAAAATTATTTGGATATACTGGACTTGGATAAATTAAGCTAGTCTTTTATTTATCCCCAAGGTTAAAACACATTACCGTGTTTCAGCAGCCACTACATGAAAACCTTGATTGATAACAGTATCAGAAAGATTTTTTTTAATGCACAAATAGAATTTCAAAGCTTAATAAATTAAAATCTAATATAATGCATTAAGGAGCTAAAGCCAAATGTAACAAACACATGAAGCATGAAGCAGGAAAGGTTTTCATCAAATGTTGCTGCCTGTCCAGTAAATGGTGCCGTTTGGTGCAGTCCATTTATTATCCATAGTCACTGTCTGTAAGTTTCATGACTTTCATATAATAAAAACTTCACACCATAAGCTTTACAGATGTAGTATTTCTGGCATATCTGTTGTTTTTATATTAGGTTTTGCTTGCGTATCTAAAATAAACCAGTGTGTTAACACCTGGCAACGAAGTGAACACGTTCAACAGGATTTGCTGCAAATTGTTTTTGTGTGAAAAGCCAGTGAGAAATCGTTTCATGTTGAACAATTAGGGAGAGCAAAGACACTGGTACCTGAGAGCAAATGCTACTTGATGTGTGTAGGAGAAGATGGATTTTCACCTGTGTAGCACAATGATTTCGCAGTGGGGAAAATGGCCAATTTTTAAAATTGTGAAAATTAAGTAATTTAATTAGTTTCTGTCTGTGTTTATAGTACAGATTCTATGGGGAGCCAGTGGTCAAAGCCTGCGTGGAAAATGGAGCACACCATATTGACATCAGTGGGGAGCCTCAGGTTTGTACTGTAATGTATGAAGGGATCCTCGGGTTTGATGTTGGCTTGAGGACAACACACACACACACACACACACACACACTGGTAAACATGATTTAGAACTGTGCACAAAGCTAACATTCAGCTTTTGTTTAGAAATAAATGGGAGATGTGCTGAGTTTGATGCTGCAGCTGGTTAGACAAAATTATTTCTCACTGGGTCCCATGACAGCAACAGCTGCCTTACTGTCAGGTGCTCATGTGTGACGCAATAAGTCCTACTGCAACACAGATGCAGACGCTTTGGTGACGCGAATTTAGTTTTTATTAGGTTTATGTGTATTCCCTGACTGTTTCTCATTTCCAAAAGGTTGCATGAAAGCTACATGAAATATAACCCTCCTTAAGAATTGAGAACATGGTGTTTTTTGCATTTGTAAAAAAAAAAAAAAAAAATCTTTCCTCCAGTGACAGTATATTTAGGTGTTTTTGGCAAATTGTCTTGTTCATGCTTTAATTAAAAAATGCAACATTTTGCAAAAAGGTTTTAAAAAAAAATCTTAGAAATGTAAGACTTTTTGTGTGTGCGTGCGTCCGTGTGCGTGCGTGCGCGTGTCTGCGTGCGTGTGCCTTAACTTGAGTTTCTTTCTGCTGTTATCTAGTTTCTGGAGGGCATGCAATTGAACTACAGCAGCCAGGCAGCTGAAAAAGGTGTGTACATCATTGGGAGCTGTGGATTTGACTCCATTCCTGCAGACATGGGGGTCCTCTACACCAGAGACC